AGTTGGGTGCGTCCCCCCTCTGTGGCCGCCTGGTCGACGAAGAGGGCAAGCCTTGACCTGCTAACCATGATTCCATCTCGTGCTTCTGCGCGGCGAGCGGCCTCCCAAGCGTGACCCGCAAAGGTCCCCACCAAGGCAAGCGTCCGAACGTCGCCGACAGGGCTCGAAGTAGGTGCGCAGCAAAAGCTCGCCAGCGGATCCTCCGCAGACTCGCCCAGCTCCATCGCAGCAAGCCTCCGGATCTATGATCCTCGGACGTCTGCTTCGCGAGCGGCGCTGCCTTTGGCACTCAAGCTGGCGCCGTCTCCAAAGGCCCCTGGGGACGACCTGCACCTCGGCAAGAAGGTTGTCGGCGTCCTGACGGCGGCGGTGCGGGTAGCACGCTTGCTGTGCAATGCGTGGGGGCGGCGAGCCAGCCGCCTCCTCAGTCGCGGGCCCCACGCCGAGCACCAACAGGCTGAGATTGCGCTGCCCGTTCCAAGGCAGGAATTTGGGGCCCGAAGGCGCACCACTTCGGCAGCCGGTCCCTCTTCCTCGTCCTCTGCCTCGTTGGCCTCGGGCTCCTCTTGCTCCGCGACTCCTGAACATGGCCGCTCGAGCTCCCAAACCTCGGCGGCTCCAAGGCGGACTCCAGCACAGGCCGCACGACCTGCAGCCAAGCCCAAAAGGGATGTCGCAAGCAGCAAGATTACATTGGTTACATCGCCCACTGAGCGCCAGCGCGGTGTTTCGCAGGCGATGGCGGCTTCAGTGGAGAACAGCTGGGGCGTCGGGAGTGCTCAGGGAGAGGTTTGCCAAAAGCTCCGACACCTGATCCAGATTCGGGAGGTGTCGAGGGGGCGCCCTGGAGGGGCAGTCAGAAGCTGGACGGCCCACCACTGCTCTGCGGAGTACTTGGAAAAATCGTAGCCGAGGTTGATCTGGGTGATCTTCTCGTTCTCCACTTCCTGGTCGAGCTCGGCTGTGAGTCGAACGGGTGTAGAGGGCTCCTTGGTGAGATCTGGCTCGCCGGATGGTTCCAGAGTGCTGCCTTTTGGTCTGCTGTGGGGTTCCCTGTGAGGCAAAGGAAACCAGGTTTTTACGGGCAGGTCGCCGGTCCGCCGCCATCTCCGCCATGAGCTCCTCCACGGGGCGGAGCTCCTGGAAGTACTGCCGGTCCGGGTGGTTCCGTTGGCCTCTCACAGGACCACCCAGTTCTCCATCCCTGCTCCTCTCCCTCGTTGTAGCTGGGGACCGCCTTCGTGAGGAACCTATTCAGGCGGGCGGCTGCCACGTAGTCCTTTGAAATCTTCTGTGAGGCCGACGCATACGCAGCTTTCTCCAGATTTGCTGCTTGAGCTGGTCGTACCAGGATGCGGTCCTTGTGCTCTGCTGGCAGCTGCACCTCACCGAAGTGCCTGTGAGACTGTGGGCTTTGCGGCTGTGCAGGATACGGCCGAGCCAGGCACCCTCCTTGTCCTCCAAGATGAGGGTCTTCCACGCCTGGGCCGCCTGACCCTCCCCACCCAGACTGTGTTGGCTTCTGGTTAGCCTGCGGCAATTTTCCTTGAGTCTCATGTACATTCTGGGAGGCTTATTCTCAAGCGTTCTGCATTGAGTTCCAAGTGTTGCTTGGCTGCGTGGCGGCGTTAAGAAGTACACTCAAAGCACGCAGATACAGTTTCAGCGTTCCCGAAGTATTGCTTTCAGCAACATGCGGAGGCCGACAGTGTTGATGTGGCCGACCCAAGCAGGCAGAGGCCTCTCGTGGGTGCTTGCAAATTTCGCACCTGCGTGCAACTTTCTACTTGAGCAGTTGCTACTCCAAGCAATTCGCGCTGCTTTTGCCTGTGTAGTGTAGTCTGGACTCTGGACTGTAGTGTAGCGTAGGAACGCCGAGCCTTGCGCGTTTTTGTGATATTTCCCCCTATCCGACCCACATTCACGCTTTTGAAAATATCATGGAGGGCTTGGGGGTAATAAGGTTTAGGGTTTGGGGCTTTGCGGTTTAGTATTTAAGGTTTAGGGTTGGGTTTTTCAGTTTAGGGTTTAAGGGTTATGCACGCCCGGAGAATCGATTTAGGTGTTCAGGGTTCGTGTGGGCAGCAGTCTGTTTTCGTCGGATGCTGGGTTCCTAAGGTGCCGCATGTAACTGCTAACTTTCTCTACATCCTTAAGCAGTGTGACGACCAAGCTCGGAGCCTTACGAGCACTGCGTTCCGCCAGACTGGAACACTTTCCAAGGGGGGGTGCCACTGCTAGGCTCACAGCCGCATGCCCGTGAACCTGGCTTGGTGGACAGTTCTGGTGGGGGGGCTCATATTGGTAGCCTTGGTAATCGTGGTGATCTTGATGTTCGTCTGGTGCTAGAAGGGGTGCGCAAGTGCTGCAAACGGTGCAAGTGCAAGTGGTATATAAAACCAAAATCGCAAGATTGCCGGGGCCTCCCCCATTAGCGACAGCGTGAACCACGAACCCAGAATACCAAGCTTGATTTGCAAAATGTGCCCCTCGCAATTACCAAGATTGCTTGTCATCTTGCACTTTCCCCAGCGTTTGGGACAAACCAAGATGACCAAGATTGACCGGAAATCTTGCACACATTGGTGGTTCTTGTTTGCCGACACATTGAGTGCTGCTGCAGCTACTTCTCCTACGACGACGACGACAGCACGACGATTAAGACTACCACCACTGCCACCACGACCACTAGCATTACCATCATTGTCACTGCGACAATTAAACTGTTGCCGCGACCCGTTTCGACGTCGACGACGACAAACTCTTGGTGCTTTTTACGCTTCAGGCTGCACAGCTCAACGATTTTCTTGATCAGCTTCCAGAAGTGCCTCGAAATAAGGCTCCTGCGACTCATGTGCTCGTTTTGTGAATTGCTTGGGGGGTGATTTTGCAGTGCTTGATGTGCAGGTCTTTGTTGATGACTCAGCAGGCTACCAGGTTTTATCCTGAGTCGTTCCATTTTCTGTTTGGTGTGCCGGGCAGGGACAACGAACTGATGTGTGAGTCCGAACGTTTTTTGCAGCCGAGATCTTTCCATTGAAGGCTTACTCTGCGATGAACTTTGGTCGCCTCGGAAGCAAACCTGTGGAGGGAGTGTCCTTGGAGGTGCGCGGTTGCGACATGCAAATCCTCGGGCAGATATGTTTCTAATTTTACAGTCGCACTGAGGCACCCGATCTGGGAGGCGTGGACGGACTGCCAAGAACTCAGCGACGTTGACTCGGTCAACGGTGATTGGGACCTCGACACCTTGGGGTGAGTTTTACCAGAGGTTTCGCTATTTCAGCAAGATGACGTCCTTGGCTCCACAGCAGAGAGATTCTAGCGGTGTGCCGGAGGTGCGCGAATTTCGCAACCGCAGAGTTTTTTGAGTTGTTGCAATGAGTCCACAGTCCGGAGCCTTGCACAGGGAGTGCTCCTTCTCGGTGGCACGTTCGTTGTGCGGGGTGCAGAGGCAGTGGCTTATAGTGGCTTTCCCGGAGGTTATATAAAAGGGCATGGATCGGCTGGGAGCTCTAACAGACCTTGTAGCAGCAGCAGTACAAGTCATGATTCCATGCCAAGCTGTGGTGGACCGACATTGCATTGATAGCGATGCTTCCTGGAACTTGGTTGGGAATCAATGCTTGCATCGGCCCGTGATAACCTGGCAGGTGGCGTATGCCTGGGCTGACAGTACGCCCGCTTGTGCGCGTGCTTGAGTTGCAATGCTTGGAAACCTTTGAATCGTGAGGAATTCCTGGTGACTATCCCAGGCATGATCCTCGGCTCCTGCTTGCATAGGCAGCTACTCAGCTACAGCATCCGAGGAGTGCTCTAAATCGCGAATGTTCAGGCTTCTATCTTTGCACTAGTGCGGCTACTCTCTTCTCTGCTGGGGGGGCGGTTCGCGTGTGAATGCGTGTGACAAAGCGAGCTCGAGGGGAAGGGCTCTGTTCAAGAACATGAAGTTGTTTCATATCGGTATGCCAAAAAGGTTTCCTGACTCTGTCCACGCCCTCCTTCCTCAGCCTATACTCGAAACGTCGGGTGGTTCGAAGGGCGAGGAGGGATGGGAGAACTGCAGACCTGCGCGGGATGGTGTTACGTCTGTGGGCCAATTTCTGGTAATGTAGCGTCTTCTCAGCCCCGAGCAATGCACGCGAACTTTGGTGGTACAACCCTCGCGAGGCTGTCCCGAATTGACATAGTGCAAGCTGCACCTTGGTAGTGCCACGCGCACGGACTCATGTGGCTTTCGGCCTGGCGCAACGCACCACCACAGCAGCCTGCCGGTGGCCGTGCTGCAGCCAGAGCGCCTTTATGAAGCTCCGTGGTAGTGGTTCAAAACACGACATGCAACTGGATCCGCACCGAACTAACAGCGCTTTTCATATAGCTCATTGATTTTGCAGAGATCCTCCAAGCGCTGCTTGCAAAGCTTGCACACAGTACTGCGGGGGCCTTGATCAGTGTCCCAGGCCAGCAGAAGTTTTCGCGGGCCTGGCAGACACAGATTAGCTGGAGAAGGCACCTGTCATGTCGCTTGGTCGAAGGCCGCAGCTGGTGCAAGCGTTTCCTTCGTATATGCAGGCGTTGTTTTTGAGGGGTGTGAAAAAGTTAGGCATGCCGGCTTCAGCAGCGGCCAGAGCGCATGTGTCAACCCTAGATTCTGGGCTCTAGACGGTGCCGGGTTGGCCATTCTCAATAATTATGCTTTTGCCACCACCTGATCTGAGGTGACGAGCTTCAAGGTGGCGGCTTATTGCTGTAAGTTGCAGTCTGTGTGCATAACATCATAACGTGATAATTGGTGCGGATGCAAAAGGATTTCAATCTTCGCATCTTTGCAGATCTGAGAGCGCTGTGGCCTGCTGCACAACCAGCATGTATGGTGAAGTGCCAAGTTGTCCATGCTCGCGGATGAAAAGGCAAAGTGCCATACAGTTCCACCATGTCTGTCGGCCTTTACCGCCCAGCAGTTCGTCAGATCGACAGCAACCGACCAGCTGCGAAGACAGGCGTTGCTCGCTTCAACTCCGGAAAGGCCGAAACGGGCAGTGAAAACGGCGTCAGCTCCGCTTGCTTGGTCTTGGTCGAGTCAGACGAGGCCCTCCAATTCCAAGTGGTTCAGCGTAACCAGCTTGGCATCGCCTGACCGACGCGTATTACTCACAATGCAGAGATGTTGTGCCTTTGGACTGCCTTGATGCTCGCTCGCACGCAGGGCCGCGCAAACATGATATAGTCTCACAACGTCTCACGGTAAAAGCAGCAAGTTAAGTCCGTCGGACTTGGTGCAACATCAAAGACAGCTACACACGCTAGCTGAGTCCAGAAGCGTCTTCGGAAGATTCGTTGTGTGCGGTGGCGGGTAGCGGCAGCGCCATGAATTGCGTCAGGCACAGAGTGCCTGCTGAAAGTGCCTCTCGTATAGGGTCACGAGCTTCCTTTCAGGTGCTGGGCAGGGCCGGGTGCTTTTGAGCGATGTCTCGGGGCCGCAGCACCGCAGGCTGCTTGGCCGGCTGGTGCTCGAAGTTGCCCTCCGCTAGAGGAGAGAGAATGAAACTTTCAGGAAGTGTCGGATCCTTCAACGCGCAAGTGAAGTCATTCCAAGGACGGTCTGCTTGCAGCAAGACTTCTCCACATCGAATGTAAGCTTGCAGCGCAGGTTTGCAATCCTTGCGCTTCACCCCATGCTTGCTCCTGGCACAGACCCCGGACCAGCGCCACATAGTGTTGTGTGCACATATTATGAACATGGAGGCAGCGTTTTGATGCCTTTTGGCGCTACCTTTGCAGCAAAAGGTGATTTGCCTGGCCATGGTGGATGCCAACCAGGCAACAGCATCGAAGATTCCTGTGCTTCATGTGGCTGTGTCTCGTCGCTACTTTCTGGAGGCACCCAGCTTTGACGCAGCCGCACTGCTCCTTGCACAAAAGATGGGACACGTGTCTATGTGCTGGGGGCGAGCAACGCAGCCAAGGCTTGTACCAGCAAAAGATCTTCCGCTGCGCACGAAAGGCGAGGGAAGGTGACTAATTACATGCCATTCGGGTGGCGGTTTCACTGGGATGTCTGTAACAGGTCGTTTTGTTGTGGGCCAGTCGGGCAGGCGCGTGCTGGCCCGAGTGTGATGCCTTTCAAGAGTCCCGAGACTTTGCGAGAGCTGTGCTGCCGCCAGACGAGGTGATGCTTGCCTGCGTGAACTGGTACGGTGCATCACAGAGGTAGCAGTGTTTGCTGTGTGTGTGTTGTTATGTGTTGTTCTTGCATGTTCTTGCTGTCGTGCGTATCTGAGACAGATGGTGAATAATGGCTTGGATGACCAGCCTGCATCTCTTCTGGCCACCAGGACGCAGGGTTTAGGAAAGTGTCAAACGTCCTACTCGAGGGTAGTGTTAGTGAGAGAACATGTCGCCGTGGGCAGGATTGCTTCCTTCGGCTTCAATTGCGTCCGGCTCCCTTTCAGCTTGGTTAAAAGCTCAGTACACAAAGGCAGGCAGCTGTAGTACTGGCCGTGGCGTGTACGACGCCGTGCAGCGAAAGGAAATGGTCCTCCGGAACGTTTCTGTTCCAAGCCTCAAGGCGCAAGGATCATTCCAGATTGTATCGAACTCTTGGATGGCACTTCGATGGAGGCACTTGCCGGCAATCCTGATTGGGCCGGATTATCGCCGATGCAGGCCACCAATAGCCAGTGATCGCATCCATGCGGATGGCAGCCTCTGGAGGTTTTCGATAAAACCGTGTCCGAGCCACATCTGCAAGCAGCTAAAGTCTATAACTTTTATGGTCGACTTGTAGAGCTGGGCTAGATCCAGCAGAGCTGGCAGTTGAAATGAGATTAGGCCTTGACAGACATTGGCCTGCTCGTGGTCCTCAACAATCACGTGTCATCAGCTGGTTGGCACCTAGCCCAGCAAAGCAGACTAAGACCGAGCCCTAGTTGCAAGCTGTGGTTGGACCAAGCGGGAGGTGCTGCAGTGGGACCGACGGAGAAGGACTTTGGTACACAACCAGGTGCGATGATCTCGTTTCTACACGTTATTGTGGTCAACGCATCGTGCTGCATTCTACTCCTGACTTACATTTCACTGCTCAATGAGTTCTACGCTGTACTACCAACCATTGCTCAGCGGTCGTTCGTTCCATAGAGTCTAGCCTCACGAGCTGGCTCATTGCTTGAAAACCTAGCAGCTTGTTGATTTGGACGGATGACCACAAACCTGAGGAACAGCAAGCACAAGGACTTTCGCATTCGGCAAATCAGAGAGTTCCTGTTGGAGCAAGAGGGTCGTTCTTCGTTTGCTCCTCACTGGAAGGTTGTTCTGATGGAAGACGTTCCTGTCTGTGCTTTCAGACACCCTTGACGTGTGACTCATGTTGGTGGATCAATCCGTCATCCCCACAGTACACTCTGTCTTCGTTGTGTTTCCAACTTCTGCTATGCTGATGCCGATTTGGGCACTGGTGATGTTGTTCTTTTGGGGCAATCCTTCGTCATTATTTGGAAGACTTCCTTGCGGGTCCGAAAATCCCCTTTCAGAGACGAACATCACACTGTTGCAACGAAGGGTCGTTGAGGGTGTGATGTCTACACAGCGTTGATGCAAACCGTCAGACCTAGGTCCAAGGGAATCTGTTCCTGGCTTTCCACAAGTCAGAACAAGTTTCACAGACCTTTGACCCTTTCGCACGGTGAGCTTCAGTGTCTTCGATGTGCGCAGTGTCGACATGTGTCGACGAAAGGCATTGCCAACTGTGAATTTGACTTTGACTCTTTGGCTCGGCTTTAGAGCCAGTCTGCTGCGGATCCCAAGAACACCAGCTTCCGTGTTTTGCCTCGTCCTGTTGAGTCTGTCGGTGTCACACCGTACCCGTTTTTTAGCTTGCCCGCCCGTGCGTCAACGTTGCTGCCTGCATTTGAAGTGAATTGCTCTCCGTGGCGCCAGCGACAGCTTCGATTCCTTTTCCACCCTGACCTCGTACTGACCTCGTATCATAGAAGCAGTCCCTCACTGGAAAGGTTTTTGAGTCACTGGTCCAAAACCCCAAACCCTAGGACCCTGAACAGAAAAGGGCCCCAAACCTCCGAGCCGGGCCACTGCGGTTCTGGAACCGGCCGCTCGGTATTGTGCGTGGTCTCCTCTGCCTTTGCCTCGGACCTGGGGATGAAGACTCGTGGGAATTGGTTTAGGGTTTTAGGGTTTAGGGTTGTAGAGTTTTAGAGCTTTAGGGTTTAGGGTTTAGGGCTTTAGAGTTTTAGGGTTTAGGGAATATAGGGTGTAGAGCGGAGGTAGCAGATCCTGTCCGCAAGTGTGAGATTCGCGAAGGTGCACATGTTGTTAACTTGTCACAGCTTTCTGTGAGTGGATGGTCTTGTCAGACGGCGCTCGAGCAGAGTGAGTTGCTGTCTTTTCTGGTACCCCTGGCAGCCTTAGCAGCCCTACCACTAGCACTTCCACACTCCCTGCACAAGAACACTCCCGCGGCTTAGCAGCTCGTCACAGTCTCACGAAACGCAACTTTCAAACAAGAAGAGCTTCATCCTGAGACTCTGCATCCGTCTTTGATTTTGGCCGCGGTGGGCTGTCGTCCTGGGCTGTCGTCCGGTGTAGACCTTCGTGTGCCTGGTTTCAGTCGTGTGCTCGAGGTACTCTGAGAAAGATTGGCTCGCAGGAATCGGTCTGGTTGCCCGAAGGCCAGGACAAAACATGGCGAGCTCATGACTGGCAGAACCGCCAGGTACAGAGACAATCCTCGGGTCGTTGGCTTCGACTTGAGGAGCGCGAGTGTGATTTGCAGCGCGAAGTCTGTGCGGCTTCTGGAGAGGAACGAGGTGCGGGCCAACGGGTGCCAGACTCAGGCTGCAGCTTTCAATAAGGAGCGATCGCCAAAGAGAGATGGAGTAAAAATGCCTTTTCTTCGTCTCTCAGGATCGTTTTGCCCACGTGGGGAACGGGCGACCGCCAGACAGATTGGTCCATCGCGGCGGCGAAGGGCGCCCAGGAGGCGCCGAGCTCGAGCAGTCGAGCGGTGCCAACCTTTGGTCTATGGTGACGTGTCTGGCATCTGTCGAACACGTTTGTCAAGCTTTTTCAGGCTTCTCGAAACATCTGCGGTTCGAAGCTTTTGCTTTCTGTAAGAGAATATGAACCGATGTGTCTAGACCTAGTTCATGGTTCCAGGTCTTGTAGTATTCCAGACGCGCCCCGTGCGTATACCGACGGGGCCTGTCCGGACCAGTATAATATTCGCGTCGGCAACCCAGCCGGATGGGGCTTTACGATTCATCACAACCACTCCTGGACCGACTCATGGGGCCCGGTGGGCCACAACTTGCATTTCCCCATCGTGGGGTCCAACTTCACAGCCGAACTCCAGCTCTTCTAGAAGCTCTTGCCTATATAGCTCGTCATAAAACACACCTTTCGATATAGTCCCTTAACATCTATACTGATTCACAACAGGCCTACGACTTTCTCCACGGCCTTTCCTTCCCGACACAACACCTTCAGCTCTTGACAAAACTTCGTACCATCCTTGATCACTTGCTTTCCGCCATACCGCTTTCTCTCATGAAAATAAAAGGTCATTCAGGAAACGACGGCAATGAAAGAGCTGACACTCTCGCCAAGAAGGGAGTAACTTCTTTCTCCACTATGGGTCGACACGCTAATCCTGTCAGATCACCCCTCAGCGACATTGCGCATCTCTACTCCCCCACTCTTCGAACAACTCTCAATAGAAGACCAAGCTCTAACGCTCCAGAAAGCCGCCCTGAAAGTTGCCCCACGCACCAAACAAGAGCAAGCCTACAAGAAAGAATACCTCTCTGAACTTACCAAGAGACTCATTGACCGTATCGCCTCGACTCCCCCGGAGGATCATGAATTATTACAGAAGCTCCGTAAAGCCGTCAAACGACGTGCCCGCAAAGATAAGAAACAACATTTATGCGACAACCTTCTCCAGGATAGTAAGGGTCCCCCCTCCAAACAATGGTCCACTGAAAGGTACCTTCGCAAAGATTATTCGCCCCGTACACAAGGTATCCGCAAGCCCAATGGTCAAATGTCGACCAAGGCAGCAAAACTGAAGTACTGGCCAACCACCTGGCCACCAAAGTCTGGAACCACCGCGAACTA